GCAGGTTGCTCCAAGGCCTGTCCATCCTGGGTGTGAGCACTTCCAGGGATGGTTTCAAGGAGCCCACCATGGACAGGTTCAAGGAAGCACTGATTTGCAACCAGCCCCACTCTTGCAACCACAGATAAAACCATTCTCGTGTCTCTTTGGACTCTCTTCACCCAAGTAGCCCTGTGTGCCTCTGCCACCCCTCTCCCAGGCAGCAGCCCCACATGCCCTGAGGACTCTGCACAGTCAGCTCCTGACTGGGCTGCTCCGCTCTGGATCCTTGTCTCATTCACCATCGTGTGGTTATTCCAACAAAAAATTAATGTCTGGGTTCTAATATTGAATGCCTCCTTATCCCAGGTGCAGGAAGCAAAGGTGAAACCCTGCATCAGTCTACTCTGCTCTTTATTCCACCCCTATGGAAAGCCAAGAGATGCTCCCAGCACCTTCAGCTCCTCTCTATGCAGGAAGCAAAGGTGAAACCCTGCATCAGTCTACTCTGCTCTTTATTCCACCCCGGGGAAAGCCAAGAGATGCTCCCAGCACCCTCAGTTCCTCCCTTATCCCAGAATATGGCATTACAGGGGGACCTTGAGCCTCTGGTCCCTCCCTAGCCATGGCAGAGTTTGCTGCACCAAGTCCCTGTTGCCCCCTGCCCATGCACACTCCCAGAGGCAGGACCGTCCTTGGCAGCAGTGGAAAAACACATGGAAAAGCAGGAATTGGAGCAAAGTCAAGGCTCCAGCATGGTGCAGGCAGGGGCAGCCTGAGTGGGGCTGTTAGAGCCCTAACACAGTTGTGGCACTGGTGGCAGGAGCAGACAGGCTGTGGGTGAAAGGCAGCTGGCAGAGGTTTAGAATTCCTCCTGACAAGCCCATCTTGCCCCTTTGCAGGTGACCAGTGGGACTGAGCCAAGAGCAACGCTGGAATTTATAAAGTTAATAAAGTTTATGTAACATTCCCCACGCCTGGGCAGTGTCCATGCTGTGCAGAACAGCAGAAACAAGTCTGGCTCTTGGCTGAGCAAGTCTCCAAGCACGAGGGGCCTGGAAAGGGGAGGCAGGAATGTGGTTTAGGGTGGGATGAAGCCTGCTCTGCTCCTGTAGAGCTGCAGCCCTGTCCTGGGAAGGCAGCAGCTCCTGGTTAGTGTTCCCAGATGGAAAAAGCAACAGGTTGGGTTTGGACATGGTTGCAAGAGGAAATCCTCTCCTTGCACAAACATTCTGCAGCTTGATCAAACACCTGAGCAGCGAGCACAGCTATGCCCAGCCCAGGTCCTCTCCTGCAGGAAAGTAAAGACTGAAGGCACACCCAGCAGGTGAAGGGTTGTGGCACACTAAGGAAGGGCAGGGACACGGTGGGGGGAGGCTGCAGCACCTCAGAATCACAGAATGGTTTGGGTTGGAAGGGACCTTCAAGATCACCTTGTTTCAACCCCCTGCCACGGGCAGGGACACTTTCCATTAGACCAGGCTGCTCAAATAGCAATAAAGACTAAATTTGCAGGTCTGGCTGCCACCAGATGGAGCTCAAAAGTAAGCAGGAGGAGAAGGGTGTGCGTGGGGTGACGGGGCTGGTGTGGGGCACAGCCATCCATGGTGGGGTACCCAGAGATGCCAGGGGGGCTGGCAGGGCACCAGCCCATCACACACATGGCCCAAAACCAGCTCACTCAGCAGTCACAGGGAGCTCTTGGGGATGTGGAGGGTTTGAAGGAAAACCACAGCAGTTTTCCTTCCTCCTCCTCTTCCTCTGCTGCATGAAAAGCCAATGCACAGCCTGGGTTTGCCCTCCAGCACGGTCTGCTGGGTTTTGGCATTTCTCAGAGTCATTACTTGTTTTGTAAAAGTAGATAAAGTTGGAGGGGTGGGGGGGGGAAGTGGGTGGGGAACCCAAATTTTCCTATCTGCTCCTTTCCAGGATCTCAGCCTGAGCTGGGCACTGCAGCCCTCCCCCAAAAACTGGACCAGGCTTTTTCTTAATCCACTCCACAAAGGCAGGAATGCTGGGGTCCCAGTCCCTCCAGCACTGCTCTGGAGTGGGCACTGCAAATCCTGCTGTTACAGGTATCTCCTGCTCCATTTGCAGCCTGGCATGTGCCCGTTTCAGGATTCAAGGATGGGAGCCTTGACCCAGTGGCATTTGGAAGCAGCCTCAGGCTAATGTGATGTATTTCAGCTGCACAGCTCATTTCTATTTTTAAGGTTCCACATCAGCGTTTGAAGGGTGAGGGGGAAGCAAAGCTGCTGGAGGGAAATAAACCAAACCAAAACAAGCCCCAGCAGCAAGAGGCAGGGAATGGAAAGAAATACTTCTTGCTGGAGGCGGCGGGGTGGCACGAGGGCTGCTGCAAAGGACGAGTGAGCAGAAAACACCAGCGAGCTTTTAGCAAATATGTGCATTAATCAACAGTTAAAACACCATCAAGGGAGCAGAGGGGGGACACCAGTCCCTGTGGAGTTGATGCCATGGGGGTGCGTGCTTGCCCCTCCCTGCAGGAAGAAGGGGATTGATTAGGGAGGTGTGCAGTGTATGGGGAACCCCTTTCATTATCTTGCTCCTACTGCACAGTGTTCCCCTTGCTATCCCACCACAGCAGCAACATGAGGACACAGGAAAGCAGCTGGAATCATAGAATCACTTAGGTTGGAAAAGCCCTCTAAGATCATTGAGTTCAACCATTCCCCAGCACTGCCAAGCCCATCACTAATCCATGTCCCCAGGTGCCACATCCACAGAGCTTTTAAACCCCTCCAGGGATGGGGAATCCCATGCTTGGGAGCTTTCTCAGTGTGGAGATTTGTCCTGATAGCCAACCTAAACCTCTCCTGCCACAATCTGAGGCTGTTCCATAGAATTGTGAAATGAGAGTTTTCTCTCATCACTTGTTACTGAAGATAGACACCCACTGCAGTGGAGACAGAAACAGAACAAAAATAAATGTGCTTGGCTGTCAGATGCTTTTCCAAAATGTCTGCAGGCTGTGAAAGGGCAAGAAAAGCCCTAAAATCCTTTCAATCCCAAGCAAAAAAAGGCAATGCCAAGGGCTTTGCTCTCAGAAATGCCATGAAGCTGCCCAGGAGCACATCTGGGGGGATCTGGACTCTGTCTGTATCTCCACTCCCAGCAGAGAAGGAGTCTGAGTCTGTGACACTTCACAGACATTCAGAAAAACAGCCTTTAACTCATCAGGGGTTTTCCAGGCAGTTTTGCTTCACTGGACAGGGAACCATGGGCAGAAGGGCAGCCTCTGACAGGTGTTGCAGTCCCTGCTGTAAATCCAACCCACCTTGGAGCAGTGTGGGAATGAACTTTACCTTCATGCAGCATCCAAAACCTGGATAGGGGAGCATCCATGTGCTCATGGCCTCACAGAGCAGCTCACTTAGAGCTGGATCAGGCTGGGGAACATGCCCAGATGAAAGCCAGGGATGTGGGATTGGAGCCTTTGCTCTGTCACTGCCTCCCCTGGGTGCCTGAGGACAGTTGCTGGGTTTGTCCCTCCATGATCACAAGACCAACAAGCAAATACAGAGATATTGACTTTACCTTTGTGTGTCCACACTGATTTCCAGACTTGGAAAAAAAAATATTTGTCTGTCCAAAATATGTGGCTTTTGCTGTCAGTCAGCAGCAGGGTAGATCCCTGAGGCACCCTGGGGTTGAGCAGCACCCAAAGGGGGTGGGAAGACCCTGGGGCAGTGCCACAACCACATGTCCCAGCCAGCCAGCCCTCCTTGCCTTGTCTTACTCAGAAAGGGTTTATTTTATCTTGATTTTCCTGTGTTTCATGAAGTTTGAAGGCTGCCATGTGCAGCCCCACAACACCAGTTTGCTGCCTGACTGGAAGTCACATCAGAGCAGTTGCTGCCATGGACATGGGGGTCACCTTCAGGGTGCTGGCAGTGCCCAGACTGCTGGAACACCCCTGGAGCCATCCCCTCGGATGCACACACTGGCACAGGGGGAGCAGAGGTGCCAGTGCTGCCCTGGCCCCTCGGAGGGACAGGGGACACAGACTGTCTGCCCCCACGACAAGGACCAGTGCCTGGGGAAGCAGAGCTCAGTGAAAAGCTTACTCAACACTATCCACTGTAAAAACAACAGAACTGGAAGTGGCCCTGGATACCCCTGCAAGCAGCCACAAAGCAGAGCAGCCACTTGCCCCCAGCTGCTCCCTGCCCTTTGCTCTGCCAGCATGGGACACCAGGAGGCAAAGTCACAGCTCAGGGGTCCCATGGCCCCAGCTGCCACCAGGGCTGCAGCACCTGGTGCCCACAGGCACAGCCCCACACCTCATGTTGTGGCTGGGAGTAGAGCAGGAAGATTTGGCACCTTTAAATTAACATCTCCAAGTTGGTTTTTTTTGGTTTTTTTTTGCCTCCAGCAGGAACAAAGGCACTCCCTTCATGCAGGCTCTTGTTTTCACAGCTAATGGGCTGGTCATGGAAGGATCAAACAGCCAAACTGAATCATTGTAGGCAAAAATCAGGTAAAACAGCACTTGGGGCAGTTGGGATCCAGGGCTGAAAACCCACTGCAGCCTGTGAGCTGCCATCCACACCATCACCTCCAGCCTGATGGCCAGGTCCATAAATGCATGTCTTGAGCAAATTTAATCTCTCTTCTCATTATGGAGGGGTCACTGTGCACCCAAATCCTTCCCCCAGCCCCAGCCACACCTGCTCAGGCCCTGGCACTCGCTCCTAGCCCTCGAGCTACCAAAGCAGTGCAGAGCAGCCGTATGTTCAGGGAACAAAACAAGTTCAGTGCCAGCAGGGACAGGCTGTGTAGCCAAGTAAGGAGAGAAGAGGGCGAGGGAAGGCGTTTGCAAAACCACCAGAGCCCAGCCAGATCCTGCTCATGTGCAAACCACACATGGCCCGGTGAGTCAGGCTGGCACGTGGTACCTGGCACCACCACATCCTGCTGTGCTGTGTCCTGGTCCAGCCCCACCAACACCCCAGCACCGCCCTGCTGTCCCCCTCCACAGACAGAAACAACCCACAACGTTTTAAAAGGCTGCTCAAGTTTATTCATTGCCATGGTGCGAGTTGAAGGTAATAAAAACGTGTTACCACATCAGCTTCGAGAGGGCTTAGTTACACCGGGAGAGAGTAAAAAAGGCTGGAGTGGAATCTTCGGGGTTGCTGCGCTGTTCCATCAGAAAGCGGCGCATTTTTGCTTGGAGCAGCCGGCTATTCTACAGGGGAGGGGCTGTGCCCGCCGGGGTGGGAGGGAGCATTCCCGAGGCGGGATGCTCGCCCGGGATGCTCGCCCGCATCACACCGCGGGGCCCGCGCTGGACTCGCTGGCGTGGCGCCTCCGCCCTGCGCCCGGGGCTGCCACCAGCCCGCAGGCCATGGCTCCTGTGGCCGCCCGCAGAGCTCCCAGGCTGTAACACACAGCAGAGAGACAGTCAGCCATGGTGCCAGCCCCCAGACGTGGCACTGCTGCTCTGCGTTTATTCCTGCAGCGAAGGCACGGGAGCCCTGGGCAGGACGTGGTCCTTTGGGTCAGGATGAGCCCGGGGGATGCAGCAGGGACAGCCCCACGCGGCCTGGGGGCTGCACTGGTGCTCCCCAGTGTCACCTCAAAGCACTCACCTCTGCTGGGACTCTGACACCGTCGTCATGGCCGGGTGAGCTGTCTTCCCAAAGAAGAAGCTGGCCCACCACTGGCCGGGGTCAGACTTGGGCAGGTCTGAGGAATGGTGCGTGACAGGGAGAGTCCAGGTCAGTGCCACCTGGGCACCCCAGCCTCACCCCACAGGAGAGGCTGGACCGCCTCCAGGAAGAGCTCCCAAGGAGGGACTGGGAGCAGAGTGAGCCAGGACAGGTGACACTTACCCGGGCCATGGGGGATGACCTCCCCAGAGTACTCTGAGCTGCAGGAGCTGGTGCTGGATGTGGAGCTCAGGCGCCCTGTGGAAAAATCATGGCCATCAGAACCATTGCTGACCCATGGCTGTGCCATGAGAAGGACAGCACAGCCTTGGTGAGGCTGTGCCTGGTGATATGGCTCAGCCTCATCACCGACTCACTCCACTACTTGCCCAGTTTAGTGCCAGGCCAGTAAAAACCACTAGGAAGAGAACACTGGGGAGATTCCAATCACAGGGAGCAGAAACACACCTGGACACCTCTGCAGGAAAAAACCTGCAACCCCAAGGACAAAATTTAGTGGCTTTGAGAAGCCTCTGCAGACGACTTGAGGCCAAGAGGATGCAAATAAATTCCTGTGTATAATCCATGTGCTTTTAGTAAACAGCTACAAGCCTGCTGCTTGTTTCATCTCAGGGGAATCCTTTAATTCCCTCTGGTTTAAGCAATCCATTAAACCAGAAACTCTCTCCTGGGTGAGGTACCAGGAGCAACCATTGCCCAGACTGGTTTTGGAGCTCACTTCTGAAGCAACAGTGCAGAAACCATCCACCCCATCCCCTACAACCTTAGCCACAAGTGGAGAGATTTGAGCCCCCTCACCAGCTGGTACAGACGGGCTGGGGAGCCGCAAGGAGGGTCTGGGCAGCAGCAGGGACACTGCTGGCTGTGCCCTTTTCTCACCAAACACTCACATGGGGCTGCAGCTGAAAGCACAGACCTGAGCTCAGCTCCATCTTTGCTGGAGCCACAGCCCCCCACAGCTGGCAGAGACCCCCATGTGCTCCCCCACCACCTCAAGCCCCCCCAGCCCCCAGGCTGCCCTTACTTCTGCGATAGTTGTGCGTGGCCATGAGCGAGCCGCTGGATGGGATGGATGCCATGGTTCCTGATCTTGGTTCTTGTGCAGATCTAAACCTGGGAGCACAGAGGCAGCTGTCAGCACCCACCCTGACCCACCCCTGCACCCCCAAAAGCTGCAGGGGTGTAAATGGAACCAGTGTGGGTACTGGGCGTGCAGCCCTGCACTGGGAACGGCGGCTGGTGCTCACAGCACACGGATTAAATCCACAGAGCTCCAAGAGCTACGTGCAAATTCAAAATAATTCCGTCATACACAACTGCCTGCACAGAGCACAGCCTGGCACAGCTCCTTCCCGACCCCCCAGCCCCACCCCGAGTGTTTTTCTTGCAGGAACCCAGCTCCCCACCTTGGATCAACATCTGGAGTTACAAAATCCCGGGCGGATGTTGCATAAGAAGCAAAGAAATGTTGAGCTGGGACACACACCGAGGGTGTTCCTGCAAGAAGTTCCAGCCCCAGCCTGTCCTCAGCAGCCTCCCCACCAGCCACAGCCGGGACAAACCTGCCCTCCCTTCACCTTTGATGTGGTCCAGCTCCAGTTCTGAGCTGGAGAAGTTCCTTCCCTCTTCCGGGTACAAAACACCTTCCTGCCAGCAGCTAACTTCCCCCAGTCCGACCCAAGAAAGCTCTAAGAACTCTCCAAAAAAAGCTCTAAAAACCCCTCAGGGGGGTCAAACGCGCCAGCTGCCAACAGCTGGCGGACACCGCGAACCAACCCTTCCTTAGCGGGTAAACTGAGGCACGGGGCAGTCCCTCCCGAGAGCCACCCAGCGCAGCCCCCCGGCCAAGCAAAGGCTCGGGGCCGCCCCTCTCCCCCCCGGCAGCGCACCTGGGCCGTGTGCGGGCTCCGGCGGGGCCGGGCGGGGCCGGGCAGGGCAGGGGGGTCCGGCGCGGGGCCGCGGATCGCTCGCACCGCACGGCCTGAGCCGCGGCGCTGCCGAGCCGCCCCCGCAGCGCCGCTTTATCCGCCCCGGCCCCGCCAATGGCAGCGGGGGCCGGCCCCGACACGCCCCTGCCTCGGTCGCGATTGTCGCGGCGGGGAGAGGGGACACCCGCCGGGGGATGGCGGGGTGGCACAACAGCGCCCCGAGCGCGGGGAGAGGGGGGTCCTCCCAAAAATCCTCGTCCCGGAGGTGGTTCGGCTCCAGTTCCGAACCGGAGGAGTTTCTTTCTCCTTTCAAGCACCTCCCCACCAGCCACAGCCGGGACAAACCTGCCCTCCCTTCACCTTTGATGTGGTCCAGCTCCAGTTCTGAACTGGAGAAGTTCCTTCCCTCTTCCGGGTACAAAACACCTTCCTGCCAGCAGCTAACTTCCCCCAGTCCGACCCAAGAAAGCTCTAAGAACTCTCCAAAAAAAGCTCTAAAAACCCCTCAGGGGGGTCAAACGCGCCAGCTGCCAACAGCTGGCGGACACCGCGAACCAACCCTTCCTTAGCGGGTAAACTGAGGCACGGGGCAGTCCCTCCCGAGAGCCACCCAGCGCAGCCCCCCGGCCAAGCAAAGGCTCGGGGCCGCCCTCTCCCCCCCGGCAGCGCACCTGGGCCGTGTGCGGGCTCCGGCGGGGCCGGGCGGGGCCGGGCAGGGCAGGGGGGTCCGGCGCGGGGCCGCGGATCGCTCGCACCGCACGGCCTGAGCCGCGGCGCTGCCGAGCCGCCCCCGCAGCGCCGCTTTATCCGCCCCGGCCCCGCCAATGGCAGCGGGGGCCGGCCCCGACACGCCCCTGCCTCGGTCGCGATTGTCGCGGCGGGGAGAGGGGACACCCGCCGGGGGATGGCACAACAGCGCCCCGAGCGCGGGGAGAGGGGGGTCCTCCCAAAAATCCTCGTCCCGGAGGTGGTTCGGCTCCAGTTCCGAACCGGAGGAGTTTCTTTCTCCTTTCAAGCAATGGTGCGTTTAAAATGAGGGTAAACATGAAAAATAAATAGATGCGGATTCGAGGGATTCTGAGCTGGCTGGGCTTTATCAGTTTTGGAAAAGAACCCTTTATTTCAGAGGAAAAGCTTGCAGCAAGGCCAAAGTGCAGCCCACAGCACAGAGCAGCTCCTCTGTGTTTGGGTACCAGGGTACAGGTGCTGCTCCATAAGTCACTGGTTTTGTGGGATGTCAGGCTGGGAGAGCCAAGGCAATGGATGTGCGTATGAGGGAGCAGATCTGTTGAAGAGGAACAGAAACTTCACAGAAAAATTCTTTCTGTTTGGAATGGAAATGGGGTTGAGAAGGTTGAGAACAAAACACTCTAAGAGAAGCCAGAGACTTAAGGTGACTTAAGGTATCTCCACAAAGGCAGTTTGGTACTTGTTATACCTAAAATGTTGTTCATTTTCTCTCCCCTAAAATTCAGTAATGCTCCAGAGCACAGCTTTGCAGCCCAGCACCCTGAGGGCTGCAGTAAAACCTTGCAGTTTGGGTGCAGCTGTGTGAAAGAACATTTTTGGGGAGTGATGCTTTAACCATTTCAGTGATTGAAGGCAGAAAGGAGCCCACATCCCAACCTGGGGTGGTTCTGTCACAAACTCCTCCAGCAACGAGCTTCATTCCTCCCCATTTGTTTTTTTCCTTATTAACCTGGAGTCATTCTTTAATCATCAGGATGAGGAAGCAGCGCCAGGGGAGGCTGCCCTGGGTTCTCCAGGACATCGATCTCCCTGCACAGCTCGTGGGGCAGTAAAAGGGCCGAGCTGCCCTCAGGGGTGTGTGTCTCAGTGGGGTGTGACCCCCTCAGCATGGGGACACTCCGTGTGAGCCACGTCCCCAGCTGACCCAAGAAGAAGGCCACACTGCCCACTGCCATGGCTGCTGGCATGGACACTGCATGCACCCTCTGAGGACAGCAGCCAGCACAGATTTCAGGGAAAAAGCACCACAAGTCTGTAAATAAATAGATTCTTTCCAAAATTTACCCCAGAGGTTAAAGCACAACACAAGCACGTGTGTGGTCCAGCTGGGGACTGAGTTCCTCCAGCCGTGCCTCAGTTTCCCCACTGATAATACTGACTCAGCGCTTTCCAGGGAAGGGATTGGCTAAAGGTTGAGATGGACTTTGAATACACAAATTCCAACAGGCAGTTTAAACAGCCACGTGGTTGTTTTCATGCCCAGCACAAGGCTTTGCTTTTGTGCTGCGTGACTGGGTTGGATCGTTGGTTGCATTTCAGGGTCCTGACACTCCCAGCCCATTTGCTCCCAGCCCTGCCTGGCTACACAGCAAGGAGAGTTCCAGGGCACAGGCTGGGGAGATTTTCCTGGCCTGGAAGGGAATGATAGAAGGCTAAAAATTCAGTGCTTCAGACATGAAAATCACTTTTGTTTTAATGTAGCCTGTGCCATCTCTCCCTCCTCAGCTCCCTAGAGATGTATTCCTGCATCCTCCATCCCCTAATAATGCACAGAGCAATTAGAGTGTATTGATAGAAAGATTATATTCTACAAAGGATTATATTCTCCCCAGCAGGTACAGGATGGCTGTGCACCCCACCGAGCCTGAGCAGGCTAATTGCTTTAATTAATGATAGAGCAGAAATGAACAAACCTGCCCCAGTCCCTCTGTGCAATTACACCTCTTACACCCACATTGGGGCTGCTTTTAAAGGATCAGCTCATTAAGCAGGTAACACTGGGGGTGTGATGCTGCCCCCACAGCCATGAGGGGTGAACTGGGGCTTCGCTACTTCAGGGGGATTCATCTCCAGCAAATCGTGCCTTGTTCTGCTTTGCCTCTCAAAATCAATTCCATTTTGCCTTAATGATGCAGCAGGAGCAGCATGGGTAGGACAGAGCAGCCAGGGGAGACTGAGCAGCCAGTCTGGTTTCCCAGGACAAAGCCTGCTCATATCAGGTGTGTTGAAAAGAGGAAGATACATTTCATTTCTATTGATCAAGAAATTGTACTTTTAAAGTGAGCAGATGACAAGATTTGGATAGATTTTTCTCTTTGGTTTTCCTCTCATTAGAGCCTCTAGGCTAGAATCCAGGACTACAAGTCTCTCCAGTTTGCTTTTTAGCAAGGTTTCTGTGTTTTCTTTTTTTTTTTTTTTTTAACTGGCTTTTAGCTTCTGGCAACTGGCTTTTGTTATCTGCCATTTGTGTGGGCCATTGAGGAAGAGGCTTTTGTGTCATTTTGAACTTGGCAGAAATTTCTGGAAGCTGGCAAAAGCTGCAGAGCTGAAGGAGCTGCTGGCTCTGGACTCCACCAGCACTTGTGGGCCAGCATCAGTGGGTGTTTGGGATACCCCAGTGGCTTCATGCTGCCACCACAATCTTCCTAGGGGTGTGACATCCCAGGGGCTTCAGGAATTTGGTCAAGAAAAGGTTGCCCAGCAGCCCCTTCCCCACCAGAGCATGCAGCAATTTTCTTCCTGGGTAAGAAGGCAGCACTTAGTCCTGGCACAGCAGCAGAACCACAGACTGGTTTGGGTTGGAAGGGACCTTAAAGCTCATCTCATTCCAGCTCCCTGCCATGGGCAGGGACACCTTGCACTAACCCAGAGGTCTCCAAGCCCTGTCCAGCCTGCCCTTGAACACTTCAGGGATGGGGCAGCCACAGCTTCTCGGGCAGTCTGATCCGTAACACAGACCTGAGCTCTCCCCAGCGCTTTGCAGCCCGATCCTGCCCCACGGAGCCGTTCCCCTGATTCTCCCTCTGCTGAGGACCTCTTGCTGCAGAGGAGGGAGCAGGCAGGACCTGTGTTCAGGCTTGTCCTCCTTTTCCCCTCCTCCCTCTCTCGCTCCTCCTCCCCTGCCTGTTCCCGGCTCTGTTTCTCGCTGCAGGTTTGGGATTAGGGCAGCGTCCGCCCGGCACAGGCAGCTGCTGCCACCTATGGATAACAAATACCCAAAATGTTCATCCCAGATGCCACCCTGGGGCCATCTCTGGTCAGAGCCAGAGCAGCTGTGACACCAAGCCCATGCTCAGGTTGTGGCCCGACAGAAATCCTGGACATCTTCCCCTGCCTATATGGGTTTAAATAGGGAAAGGGAATGCACTGGAAATGCAGGGAAAGACTTTCCTGAAGCACAGTGCTTGAGCAGCATATTTTACCTGAAATCATGCTCTGCCTTTCTGGGACATGTGCAGCAGTGACCCAAGTGCCTCCTTGGCAGGAGAATAAACCAAAGTCAGATCAGGACATGGATCACTGTCCCCATGGTGATGGGAGCAGCGCTGCTGCCCTCACCTGCAGTCTGATTTCCCAAAGGGCACAGGGAATTGGCATCAGGACCCTCAGAATTGTGAGTCTGATCTGAAAATACATTGTGGAGTTAGACAGAGAGTCACAACGTGTCTGATTTATCTGTGCAAACGGGATGTCTCCAATTTGAAAAAGCCAGTGACGAGAGATGACTGCTGCTTGCTGTAATCCAGAGGCTTGTGGTGAACTTCCTTCCACAAGTTCCTGACTTATGGTTCATCTGTTCCTCTCTAAAAACTGGACAATCACCTTGCAGAAACCAGCAGCAGCACTGAGCAGGATCCATGTCTGCAGAAAACTCCTAGACCAGCAGCTCCTTTGTGGGATCAGGGGAGATGCCACTACCAGTCACTACCACCACAAAAACAAATTATTCACCAATATAAACCCTAGGGCTTTGATGGGGGTTGGTTCTCACTAAATTGTCTGATCCTCTTTTCACCCTTTGGATGCACCCATAGCTTATGCTGCAATCCAGGTATTTCCTTTAATATTTCCACTAAAGCCATCAAAAGATGTGGGCAGCCAGGGCTCTTTTCACTCAGTGGCTGTGGTTTGATAGGAAAAGCCATCCCTGGGATTAATCAGGCTTTTCCTAACTGAGAGATGTGCACAGCTGCCAAAACAAACACATCAATCTGCTGTAGCTTGACACAGCACCAGACATCTTTGCTGAAAACCCAGCATGGTCCAGGGGCCAGGCAGCATCCTGCAAACAGCACTAAACCACAGGGCAGAGGTGCCTTATCTCATTTGGGCTTGACCTAGATTGGGCTCTGCCCCATG